TCATGGTTCTTCTAGCATGCTGTTGAATTTTCTATTTAGAGCCCTACCTCCTGGAGCAAAGATTTCTAGTCCTCGTATTTTAAAGGAGAAATTCAAACAAACTTTAAAGATACAGAAACTAGAAGTACTACCAAAATTACATTTTTCTACCCTCATAGATTCTGGATTTTGAGAGCTGATGACAGAGAACTGTACAGATGCTTTGCACAGACCTATAAAGAGAAGGTAGCAGGGAATCCATCTCTGAAGATGGGAAGATAAATTTGCTATAATCTGATAAAGACCTGACCTTGAAGGGATATAGATTCATAGAGGAGCTTTGAAGATGTTACCTGCTTGGAGGCTATTGATTTGAAAACACATAATGCAAACATGTAATTATAAATTCAAGTAAATAATATTAACATAAATATTTTTAAATTTGGTTTTTAAAACAAGAACATTTGGTTTGCAGTCTTGTAGTACAAATATTGCACTGCCATGCACAAAGATTAAAGAGAAATCTGATGGATGTAGAAGATACAACATCACTGGAAAGTGATTCAAAATTCGGGCATCTGGCAAGGGTTATTTTGCTGCCTCACAACTTCATAAAGCCAATAGAAAGCAAAATATTTACCACTATTAAAAATTACCATGACTGAGTAGTGAAAGCATCTTCAGGCTCTCACAGTTTGGTTAAAAAGAAGAGAGGAAAACCCCAGAGGTTATAATTAACAAACTACTTGGATTTCAAGTGCTCAAGCTACATCTGAGTTATACCAGCATTACAGCAGTGAAATCCATCCCCACACCTTTGTTATAGTTGGAGGACTATTTTTGTAACTTTCAAAACCACAATATCAACTATTAAATGAATTATTAGAGATCAACATTGAAAAGTATTCTGGGCATCATTCTACAGTTACATTTCACAGCATTTCCCTGACTTGAATACCCTGAGGTCACTTATGCTTTGTAATGACAGAGAACTTATGCAGCATCTTTCCAGCTACACTGAAGTCTTGAAAGTAAAAAGTCTACCAGAACCCAGCATATATTTACCAATGAAAATAGCCAATCACCTCCTTAAAATACAACCATACACAACCATACATAACCATACATACATAAGCCCCACCTTATGTTCAATTCTTAATGTGCAGGATACCAAAGTTCTTACACAGAAGATTATTTAGCTGGGAATGGCCTCTGAAAGCAGAAGGATTATCAAAAGCCACTGAAAGGTGACAGTGGCAAGGTTCTCAGAACGGAGGCAGAGTCAATGCATTAGCAGTATCACAGAGCTTGAACTTAGGCTTGGAGAGGACACTGGCAATACCTGGCTCAAAATCATCTCCAAGGTGAGAGCCGTATTTCCCTATCTTAGGCACTACCAAAACAGTCAGAGAGCAGGAAGTCAGAAAGGTTGCAGTATGTCACTGACAGTCTACTCCTTTCTGCTAGGAGTTCTGCTGACAAAGCAGGGAATCCCAGCAGACCACCAAATTGCCACAGTTCTGGGAAACAAAGTCAAAGGGGCAATCCATCAACAGCTTCTGGCAGCCACCTCCATTGGGTAACTCCTATGGAAATCCCAGCAAAAACTTTCCAGCCTTTCCTCCCTGAGGCTTCTCCTTGGGATTTTGCTTCCTGTAGAAGCAAAGGTGGAACTGGCTCAAATCACACAGCTTGAGTAGAATCACAGAGTATCTCAAATTGGAAGGTACCCATAAGAACCACTGAGTCCAATTCCCTGCTTCTCACAGGACCACTTAATACTGAACCACACAACTAAGAGCATCATTCAGATGGTCTTTGACAGGTTTAGTGCCCTGACCACTTCCCTGGAAAGTCTGTTCCAGTACCCAGCCACCCTCCCAATGAAGCAGATTTTCCTACTGTACAGTCTGAACCTCCCCTGATGCAGCTTCATTCCATTTCCTTGTGTCCTACTGAGTCACCAGAGAGAGGAGATCAGCACCTCCCCATCTGCTGACCCCCTTGAGGAAGCTATAGACTGTGATGAGGTCACCCCTCATCTTCTCTTCCCCAAGCTGAATAAAACAAGTGACCTCAGCTGCTCCTCCTAATCCTTGTCCTGAAGACTTTTCCCCATGCCTGCTCTGGATCCACTCTCAATAGTCTGATGTCCTTGTATCGCGGTGCCCATGGCACCTTTTGATTGACACAGAACTACTGACAGCGTACTTGTGTCTTGCTCCCTGTTCAACAATGACTATCTCACCACTCCCAGATTTCACCAAAATCATACCCATTCCTAGAAAACCTTTCAAAATCAGCAAGTGTTCTGTCTGAGCCAGGTTGAGTACCATTTACAGCACAGCAGCGCTGGGTTTGAAATTCCTATGCAGAGCAGTAGGCCAGATCAATAGAAACAAAACCCGAGTCAGAGCAGAAGTAATAAACCTCATATTACTGCCTGAAAAGGAACAAAACATTCTCCTGATAGGCTACCTCGATGCTTAGATCAAGCATGATACCTGCACCACGGCAGAATCTGACCCAGCAAATCAGAGATGTTGAGAATGGGAGTCCAACATGTCACTTTACAGGTTAGGCACAGGACAGCATCAGAATACAAATGTTTTATAAAAATGCACCTCTGCATTTTTTTTCTTGCAAGAGGTCAAAAAAAATTTTTAAAAATATGTTTCTATGTTCCCAACCTATAAGGTATGAGTAGCATCTTTTATTTGCATTCTCAGCAAAAACCAGAAACGAGTATAAAATGAGTATTCAGTGCCATAAGGTAACTCAAATGTAGGATCTAGATCTGTCGTAAGTGGTCAAAATGAAACTGAGGAATGGCAATCCAGTAATTTAAGCATAAATTGCACACCGGTCCAAGAGGCAGGTTTCCTCCATCAGTAGCTGTGAAAAAGGCATGCGTTGCATGTACAAAGAGATGCACTCTGCGGGGTCTGTGTTTGCAAGACAGAATGCCTTCTCACACATAGACACGCTAGCCCTGACAGCCCAGGACACGTACAGGTGCAATTATGAACATTCTGCTGGGCTGGAAACCTTGCGTACCGCCGTGGGAGCGGTGGAGCGGGCACAGAGGCATCGCGAGTGGAAATGAGCGCAGAGAACGCCTGAAGGGCCGCGCTGGCCTCGCTCCGCTCGGGCTTCCCCGCGGCGCCGAGGCCCAGCCCGGGCGCCGCCGAACGCCCCCAGCCCTGAAGCATCCCTTCCCTTCCCTGCACCAGCCGCCGCACCCAGCGCGCCGCGCCCGCTTCGGGCGGACAATGACCGGCGGGCATACAATGGTGCAGGGCCGGCGGGAGCCTGAGGCGGCTGCGGGCTGCGCCTGCCACACCTCTCCCGCCATCTCCTCTCCATCACCGCTGGCTCCCGCTCGCGCTCCCCTCCCGTCCATCACCTCCATCCGCGCCGCCGCCCCGGCCCCCGCAGCCGGCCGGTCATTGTTCTACCGCCGCGGGCACCGGGCGACCCTCTCGGCCGCTGCCGCCGCTCACCGTGCCGCCAAGGAAAGACGCCGAGCGGCGAGGGATGAGCACGGCGCATCCATCTTCCTGCCGCCGCGGCGGCTCCAGCGCCCGCACCGGCCCCGCCGCCTCCTGCGCGCCGGCGCTGAGGGCGCGCGCCCGCCCCGCCGCCGCCGCCCCGCGGCCGAGGCTGCGCTGCCGGTCCGGGGCTGCGGCAGCCCCGCCCGCCCCGCCGCAGCAGCGCCCCGGCAGCGCCGGCAGCGCGGCGGGGAGCGCGGGCCGACCCGGCTGAGGGGGGCCCGCGGCGCCCGGCTCCCTCAGGACTCCCTGCCGGCGGGGCCCGAACAAACCAGCCTCTGAGGGCGAAGGGCCGCAGCCCTCGGACCGCAGTGACTCGAGCTGTCCGGCGTCTCCGTGGCCTCAAGCTGGAGCTCGCCCCAAGCCTTGCGACTTCCGAGGGACACACCTCATCACCAGTCTCCATTTGGACAGCACGTAAATGGCCACTATATTTGGGAGTGTGACCTTCGTCACCCTGGGGTCGACCTATCCAATCCATGTCTTTCCAGCTTAGAGACAAGGACACTGTCTGGAAGCCACAGTATCAAATGCTTTGCACAAGCGCAAGTAAATGACAAGAGTCACTCTTCGCTTATCCACCAGCACATTAATCCCCACGCAGAGAGCCAGTACCAAGTTTATCAAGCACAATTTGCTTGATTATTCCAGTACCCTAGTGACAACAATTTTATAAATGGTCTCATTGATATCCTCAGGTTTGCATGGAATTCGGAGAGCTCTTGGAAAATACATCAAGATCCAGTTTTACTGTTTAAAACCATCTGCAGTAGAAATGGTTGTTGAATGGATACTATGGGACATAGGACAGTAATTTCTAGAGATGCCCAGAACTAAGAACATGGGTTCCCTCTGCTCCATGGACAGAGAGCCCAGGGCTGTGACCCAGGTTTCCTGATGTGCCCACCTGTACAACTGGTCTCATGAAACACAGGAAGCTATGGCTAAATGGGAAGGGTTTATAAATGCTTTGTCCTTGATTTAAAGTCATGCCACAGACACAGGGGTGTGGCTGTAAATTTACAGGCTGTAAATTCTGAAAATCTATAGGCTGTAAATTCTGAAACAAAGGCATAATTATCTTTCTGCCTCCTTGACAAAATGATCCTTTATAGTTCATTTGATTCCATTGCTACAGGACACATGGAACCTGAACCATAAAGCCCAAGAACTGTAACTTCATTATTTTTGAATTGTGCTATCCCAACTGCTTTTCTACTGAAAGAAAAAACTATCCATCAGATCTACAGTGAGAACTCAGACAGCTGTCACCTGTAGCTATTTGGGATTCCTCTGACATTTGCCAATCCTTTAACATACCCATGGGACTATCTCTAAGTGCCTATTCTACTGCTGTGTAGTTCAAGACAAGCAAAAGTCATTACGTAGATAGGTAGGTAACAGTTTCTGATGAGGACAGCAGTGATACCACTAAGAGGTCCTCCAAAGAAGTGCAGTAAAGACCAGAGGTAACTTAGCAGAATCAAACTTAAAATGTATTTTAACTCAAGCAGACAGCTCTTCCCAATGCCTCACTTAGCAGTCCTGTGTCTGCCCTCTGACTGGAATGACTTGGTGAGAAGTAGAGCAGGTTCTCACATTGCAGCTCAGGCACTTTCACATCAGGCTCCCCTTTCCCTGTTGGGGCCCATCTCTCTTCAGCTGTGGACTCTGCTAACTCCTTCCCTTTATGGGAGGGCAACAACAAAAGGAGGAATTTCCCTAGAAAGAAGTGGTTGCATCTCCCACTTGCAATGTCACATCCAATGCACAAGTTAGAAGTATCAGAATTGTTCATGGTGTTACAGAAGACAGATTGAGAGGGGAAACACGACGTGTGGGAGTGTTGTTGGCTGACAATGATGCCGGAAGGAAAAAGGGAGCAGCAACATCTGTGGATGATGTTTCTCCTTGGTTGCGAAGCTGTAAGATCTGGCGCAGCAGGGCTTTTCCTTCTTCTCTAGTCTGAAATTAATTTGTAGAAAACAGAACAATACAACTATGAATGGATGGTTTCTGGGTCAAATTCAGTATGTAAGCAGTGTAACTTAAAGTAGCTTGTGTAGTAAGTATTCTGTAAGGCTACAAGCTATAAAAGCCATTCTCAACTCTTTTTTCTTCTGCTCCTTAGAAATGTTAAGGTAAGTCACTTTTTTTCATTTTAGTCTTTCCTCCTTTTACTCCTGATTGGTGTGTTTCCTGGGTATTTCAGAGAACAGAACCACCAACCACTGAAGCTGTCTAAATATTCCAGCAAGAAGTAGATTGGGAAAACTTCAAATAAGGTGAATTCAGGTTGTAGAGAGCTCCAGGCAGCTTTGTCAAGGACAGGCCAAACACCATGCACTCATGGTTAGTGTCTACCACTAGGCTGAAATTAAAAATCCCGAACTGCCCACTTACAGATACATAACATCACAGAGTATGAAGCTGCACACAAAACCCAAGTACTATTATGCTCTCTGCGCCGTCTACACACAGAAGATGAGGAAAAAGGTTTTAAAAGTACCACCACTACACAGTGTGTGGGAGTTTGAGACCATTTCACTAACACCAAGATTTTTAGCAGCTTTAAGACTGCCATGTGAAGCTTCAAATTCTTTTACTTAGTGAATTCCAATGAGGAATGGTTCAGTTTCACTATCTACACCACATTCCATGACTTTTATCAACCATACTCAGCATAACTGATCAGGCATAGATGACAACCACCATTCAGGATGTAACTTGTATGGCAGACAGCCCTTATTCCTTCATAGAAGACTCCTTCTACTCTGAGGGGAGCCAAGGTCAAGGTCATAGATCCCTTAAGGAAGAAGCACCAAAGACTGCGCAGGTACTCACATCATTGAAGGCACAGCATTTCTGAGCACATGCTGAGGCTTCATCCCAAAGCTTACATTTGAAGTAATACTGGGCCAGGTAACGAAATGCAGTGCTGACCTCCAGGTGCTCCACTACCTCCTACAGTGAGTGGGGTAAAAAACATCATTTGTAAGTGCCTTCCAAAGTAGCTGTACACCATGTTTACTTCTCCTTTTATTCCCAAGCTATCTTCTTACCCCACAGGAATAGATATCCTGGATGTATTTGATGTAGCATTGAGCTGCCTGTTCAGATTCATTCAGCTGTTCATGCAACCTACAAAAGGAAAAAAGTGGGTCACTGGAACAAGGCTGCCCTGTTGAAGACCTTCTCGGTCTATGAGAATGTACATGCTCACCCTGACCTGGACTAAAGCCAGGTCCTTTCCTTCAGAATTTGCAGGACATGCAACATGTACTACCCCTTGTGGAAGGAGATGGTCCAGTTTGCATTCATGCTGGCAGACAGAGAGGCAGTCAGACAGTGACTAGACAGCTAGAAGCAGTGACAACCAAAGCAGGGGCCTTGGTATATTCTGTTGCATTTTAAAACTTAACAGACCTTTGCCATTCTACTTACTCACTATTTCCTCCAGTGCTCCTTCTTCCCCTGCTACAATCCAAATTTGTACAGCAGTTTCACTTTTCATCTGCCCCTTTTTTTCCCCTCTTCACTTTTCCCACTTTATACTACTTTATCCCCACCAAAAAAAAATTAGTGCTGATGTCACAGTATTCACATTAGACCTCTTTCAATGTCACAGCTATATACTAGAAAGGAAAAATAAAACCAAACTACAATTTTATACATCATGTACTGTCATGGTCTGCTTTTAAGTTGCAATACAACAAATAAAATTGCTAGTACGACATGCTCAAAACACCTCAGGATTCAGAAGTCATTTGCAACCCACATAATGCTATCATTCTCTCTAGTTATCCCGATGGAAACAAAGATAAAGCTGGACACCAAAATTTGCAGTCACTACAGCCCTAAAGATACCAATTCTTACACAGCTCCAAAAGTAACATTAGCTAACAGCAATTCCACTTGTTTACATTCTATATTTTATCATTGGGTATCAAAGTGTGACTTGCATTTAACACAACCGTGACAGTTCAGTGAGGGTACATACTCACTTGGCGAGTTTCACAAGTGCCATTTTCTCCACATCTCCCACAGCATAAGCTCTCCAATAGCACTGTCAAGGAAGGAAAGTCAGTGAAGCATGCCACAAAAATTAGTCCAGCTCATGAATCCAGCATGCAAATCAGAAACAAAAAATTACAGGGATTGTCAGCAAAAGGGGCATGTATCTGTAGACAACTCCTTATTTATCAGCTGCTCTAGTTATACTGCAGCAGTACTTCCCCAGCTGTAACTGCCAATGAGTTTAGGTAGCACTAGCTATGTAATTTTGCTGCAATTTCACCCAGTGTTCTGGAAGACACCCTAGTCTTACACATCAGTTCTCACCTTCTTAGCTTCCACCAACTGATTGAGTTTCTCATAGCATTCTCCTAGAGCAACCAGCATACGAGAGTCATTTGGTCTGTAAAAGAGCAATTCTTCAGGTAGTTTAATGGACTGCCAGCTGATCTCAGGGTGAGGAGAAGATGGGGGGTGGTCAAGGGAAAAAAATAATCTACACCCGGCAGTCTGTCATGTCTTTTGCATAAAGCATCACTCTTACTCCCAACCAGTCACCCTCAACATTTAACTGACAAAGCTTTTGTTAACAGTTAACTGACACAACTAAAAGGATTTGGAACAGTGGGACTGCACACATCACAAAGCACAGATGTTTTTTTCCTTCCCCAACTTAGTTCTTGCATGTAAACTCCTTAGCCAGTATCAACCAGGTCAGAATGAAGACCGATAAACATGGCTCCATTCTCAACCCTACCTGAGCTGGTGGGCCCGTCGGTAGTAGTAGAGACAGTAAAATGGCATTTTGAGGATTTCATAGGTTTGCCCCAAGCCATACCATGCTCTGTAGTCCCTTTTGTTCACCTCTATTGCATGCCTGTCAATGAAAAGGAGATGAAATAGGCAGAAAGTCAGGATCAAAACCAAGTCCAGCAAAACACTAAGGAAAAATAGAAGATACTACTTCAGAAGCAAACACAATTTTGTGCAGTACATGAGCGGTACCTATAAGCCTGGATAGCTGCAGATGTGTTCTTCATCTCCATATACTCATGTCCCATAAGTGTCCAGGCTCCCAGATAACGAGGATTCAGTTTCAAGGCCCTCTGGAAATAGAGTGCTGCTTTTTCATGCTGGGAACGCAAGCTATAATAATTTCCTAAAGTAAAAGGCATAATATTTAAATAATTTTTTAAAACCCACAACCAATTAACGAAAAAAGCCAACACCAATAGAGAAGTAGAAAAAATGATGTAATGTGCATTATCTACTAAGAAATTAAAAAGAGTCCTAATAAAGAGAGAACTAACTCAAACCTCAAGAGACCTAATAGCATTCTGTTCACCAGTCTTCTGGTCAATCCTTTTCCAGTTGTACCAATCCATTTATGATTCCATTGCCTTGGCGTGTCATGATCTAACAAATCAATTTCTTGCTCTTGACACACAACTATTTCTACTGGAGTTTGAAGACTATACACAGATTTTTAGGTACATGGGTCTACTTTCTACCCTAGTACTATTACAGCAGCTTTCAGAGAGAAATGAGGGAAAAGGGTACTCTCTCATTTTGTCTAATTTTCAGGCTGCCTGAATCCAAATTCAAAAAGTGGTGATTTTAATTGCCTTCCCAGCTTATCACTTCCTCAAGTGTTTCCAAGATTCCCTCACACAGCCTACACACAGCAAAATAAGATGTAAAAATAACATGTTAAAGAATTGGCTCTCACCAATTACACAGCAGGTCTCAACACGGTACTTGTCTATCTCACAGAGATTATGAGCCAGGTAGCTCAACTCAGGCTTCATGCTCTAGTGGAACAAAAGAATCAAGTAATGAGAGAGTACATTATGCTTTGAAAGAAATTGCAGTAAGCAAATGGCAATGCATACAGTGCCTCTCTTCCATGGAGTTGGGAAGAGGAGAGCAAGTATTCAGAGAGGCCAGACAGCACCAGCTGCTTTACCAGTGTTTAACATACCTCCAACAAACACCATCACTATGGACAGGCCACAGGAAGAAAGCTTACCCTTACATAGAGCAAGTTGGAGAAAGTGTCCATGTTTTCTATCCTGTAAGGATCTTGTTTCCTCAGCTCATTAAAGATCGATAAAGCTTTGTCAATATCTGATGAAAGAACAGCATATGGGACATCAACAACTATAAAAGCCCAGTTTGCATTAAGGAGGTCATTCCTACTTAGTGTCACTGACCTCTTATATTGTGGTAGGCAACTGCAATCTGAGAGATGATATAAGTGCTTTTGGAAAATCCTGCATCAATGAGAGACTGATACTTCTGTAGAGCTTCCTCTATCAGCTGCAGCTCTGTATAAATGTGTGCAAGAAAGAACTCTTTCATCCATGTATCTGGCAAGGACAGGAACTTCAGCTAGCAAGAATCAAAGAAAAGAGATGACAATCAGAAAAGATAACAATCAGAAGTATTCTACAAGGTACACATCGCAAGGAATCCATTATCTTCCCTCCAATGACTTAGTAGATGGTCCTGAGGTAGGAGGCCTTCCTGCAGTCGCTTTCTTAAACCCATTTGGTCAATCAGGGAAGAAATTGCCTTCAAATACGACATTACCTGGCTCTTGCTGCAGCTATTAAATTCAGACTTTCTTCCTATGTTTATACATCAATATCATAACACTAATTTCAATGAACCATGTAAGCAGACTCAAAATTATATAACAAAACTGCACTTCCCTTTTTCCACAAATTGGTAACACTCTTCTGTATCACTTTTTAAAACGTTTTTTAAGTACTGTTTTAAATACTTCATCAACCAGAATTTACTGAAGAATTCCAGAAGTGGACTCAAATTCCATACAGAAAGAAAAATAATCTATTTTGGTTTTATATCTGAAGTTCGTTTCCCTGATACAATTCACCTCCTATGTGGCTTTGTACATTATCTTTTCAGCTTTGAAAACAGCAATTCTATATATCCCTTCAAGCAATGAGAAGTGCTCAATAACTGAGGAATTAGAACCAGATTAATAAAAAATAAGAAAGGGGTACCTCTTAGGAGGATCTCCTTCATGTGACAAGATAATAACTCCTGACAGTGACAACTGCTTCCAAAAATACATGAATTGGAAATTTCTTAAACCACTTTGTGGGGGAATGATAAGAAATTAGCCGTGCCTGTATAAAGATTTTCAAGCTACAGCACGACAAGCTATTGAAGATAAAGGGGCTTTTACAACATAATTTACAGTCATGGATTGCCTTGTCTGACAGTGTCTCACAGAATGAAGCAGTGGGCAACATCAATCTTGTGGAAACAGAAACACTGTTCACTGCATCAGGCTAAACTCTTGAGATTTGTTACCACATCTTGGTATCTCCAAAGTTTTACCATCTCTTTATCTGTAATCAAGTTGCAAAGTTCCAGCCAAGCTCCCCAGTGCAAAGGCAGAACATGAGCAGCTTCAACAAACACATCTATTGCTTCTTTCACGAGGTCCAGTTTCCGCAGCACAACACCATACCTGCAAAAAAAAAGTATCAGGTTGACAAGAATCATGTAATTCTGCATATCCACACAAATATATAAGAAATACATGCAAACACTTACAGATAAAGGCCAAATCCATCCAGTTCCTGTGCCTTGTGTTTCTTGCTGAGCTCAACTCTCAATTCTCGTAGAGCTTCATTTTTCACCTGTCCTTTTTCCAGAGGTCCTACATGAAGAGAAAGTCACACAGCTAGCTTTCAATAAGGAGTCTCACCACAGCAAAGCCAAGTCTAGGGTACAGTCAGAATTATCACTGGCATGACGGCTTCCCAGCCTGTGTTTATGTTCCCCATTTTAAAGAAAATTGCTTAGTCTGGTTGTCCAGTTTAAAAGAGGACCCCTAAGAGATGAAAATCTGCAACCTGTAATTAAGCCAATGAATCGAAAGAGAATGAAAGAAATCATGTTACAGTACCTATTATCCAAAAAATTGAGGGGAAAGCCATAGACCCAAGATGAGTTACAAGAAGAGTCAACAGCAAAAACTTCATTATCTCATCAAGCATTTCTTGACACCAGAGACTTACCCAAACTATCAACTGTCTCATCGTCCTTTTTCTTTTCCCCCGACTGTGGAAAAGAAATAAAATCCAAGATTACATTGTAATAGTGTTTTTCCTGTGTTTGCTGCAGCACTTGCAGCAGTGTTTAAACGGAGTTTTCACAGACAGCACAGTTCTGAAAAGAACAGCCCTATCTTTCTTTACCCCACCACAGAATTTTGACTTCAAGGTGGTCATTAGGAACCAAGCAAAAGAATAAGCAAAAAAATAATATATGCCAGGGAGGGGTCAGAAGCAGAGGAGTTCAGTGCTAGGAGGCAACCCTTTTTCTACCTTACCAGGTATCTGGAGTACATGTACAAGAAGTAAGCTTTCTGGCTCTTGCAGCCCTGTAAAAAGTAGGCAGCCCTGTCATATTCCTTCAGATCGAAGTAAGACTTGGCCAACGTGTAGGCATCCAGATCACGAGCATCCTCCTGCAGGGACACACAAGAGTTTTAAGACCCAAGAAGCTCTGACATACTTTAGGAAAATCATGGTTACAAACATAGCAGTGAAATTGCTCCAAAAGCTAAAAATGTAGTAGTTTGTCCATCTTTAGAGATGGTTTGAGCAGTATCAGAAAAGTTCCTCCGCTCCCTTGCATGATCTGATTCTAGAGTTCTCAAATAACGAGTACAGACTATTTAAGAACATTTAAAATAAATGGTGAGATTTCAGAAACAAATTGTGGCAAGCTGCCAGAAGGCAAGGCTTAGCTGTTCAATTAGTATGAAAAACCATAAACAAGAAATCTGCTCAGGAATTCCATATAAGAGAATATTAATCTGCTAACATACAAGAGAACACTTCCTTGGTAATTATACCTTGAAATGCATTTATGACTTGTTACACTTCTATAACACACCAGGACACGCACCTATGAGTTCTACTGTATTCCTGCAGAGGTGGGGATGGAGACACAACTTGTTTCTCTTGTGTCCTAACAAGCACAAGTTTAATGGCAAAACATAATTTGTATTAAAATAAATTTTGACCTCAGTAAAGAGGAATAAAAATAAACTAGCAGGCATGTGATTTCAAATTTGGCTTACAGAGTGCTTCATTTAGGACACAGCAACAGATAATGCTTTCATCTGGGAAAGCACATTGAGCTCTCTGGCCCTGTTGAACACACTATGGAAAGATGCTCCCAGCATTATGGCAAGATCAGAGCCCACCGCTGACTCCTGCCCGTGGGATTTGGGAGATTGCAGTCGCATATTTTCCTCCATAGTTAAGATTAAACAGCCCACCCACATGAGCTGCAGCACCTTCTAGGGCTCACAGCCACTTCCCCCTGAGCACAGCCTGGGCCCGTACCTCGGTGAGCACGGGGGGAGGCGGCAGCTCGCTCAGTGGCAGTGGCTCCAGGGCGAATGCAAGTTCAGCAGCCCTGAGGGAAAGAGAGCATTAGGATTATTGAATCATCGAGGTTGGAGGAGACCTGTGAGATCATCAAGTCCAACCGTCGGCCCAGCACTACCAGCGTAATCCCTAAACCACATCATCTAGCGCCAGATGCAGACACCTCTTAAGAACCTCCAGTGACTCCACCACGTCCCTGGGAAACCTATTTCAGTGCCTGACCACCTGAACATTCAAAAAACATTTTCCAATATCTTATTGAATATCCCCTATCTCAACTCAGGGCCATTTCCTCTGGTCCCCTCCCCGCAGGCACAGCAGAAGAGACTGGCTCCCACCTCACTAAAAACTCCTTTCAGGGAGCTGCAAAAAATGATGAGGTACCCACAAGCCTCCTCTTGTCGAGACTAAACAAACCTAGCTCCGTCCCATCCTCCCTCCCGGCACAGAACATGTTAGCCCGGGGTCCGCCGAGCTGTGCCCGGCCCCGCTCACCACTTCCCGCTGTGCTGCAGCCCGCGCTCGCGGCTCCGCTCCGCCACACTCAGCAGCTGCTTCTTGATCTCCCGCAGATCCGAGAAGTCGCCGCCGCCCGCCGCCACCATTGCCGCCGCCGCCATCGCGCCAGCCCGGCCAATCACAGCCCCGCACACTGCGTGCCAACTCGCCAGCCAGACCAATCACAGTCCCTTCCGCCGTTCTGGCCAATCACAACCCCGCACACTGCGTGCCCGCCTGCCGGCCTGGCCAATCAAAGCCTCGAGCACTGCGCTCCCCCGCCCCTATACGGAGTCGTCTGCTTGGGCGAGTGCGAGAGGCCTCGTGACCAATCCTAGGCGCGCGCAGGAGCCGTGCCGCCTGATTGGCCGATTGTGGCGGCCGCGCGCAGGAGCCGTGCCTCCTGATTGGCCGGTTGTGTTTGAACTGGCAGCAAGTTCACTGATGGAGAGAAGAGCGTCGCATCGTAAAAGATTTCTGGTTTTTTGATGAGCTGTGAATGACACTAATTTTTACACTGACTCCAGTATAGAGTCTAAGGCTACCACTGGCCTTCACTGTAGTGATGAATACTATGAAAATTTCAAGGGTGCGTTGATCTGGAACGGTTTCATCTGGAGTCACCTACTGAAATTAAGATTGCTCCAGAAAGGTTTACAGAGATAGGAAATGCCCAGTTTGTCGTTAAAGTGGGAAATCATGAGTTATTTTTAGTCTTCAATGGTTTTTCAAATAGACAAAGCAAATTAGACCATTATTTGAAGTATAATTTTAGCGTTACATGGGTTTTTCCCTTTCTTAATTTTAGCCAAATGTTTTGCAAGTTCAGTTGTAGCTTTGACAGAAAATACTTCTATTACTCTGCCGGCCCATATGTCCAAAACACAAATAAAAACTTCTTTGTTATTGTTGTTACTACACAGATGGGTCTAGTCAACACAAAGCCTAACTTATACCTCATTCTCTCTCTCTTTGCCCCATTTCAGAACACATGTGAAAAGAGCTTCCGAATTGTTTTCGATGATACGTTTTTGTTGTACTTCCCATCTCTTTTATGTTCTCCATATGTAGGGATCAGCTGTTAGTGCTCTATGCTCCTAAACATTATATTTGGTATTTGTTTGAGTCCATTAGTTGGACTCAATGATCTTATCCAATCAAAATGATTCTGTGATTCTCTGCTGGTTTTAATATAAGGATGTTCAGTTTTTACATGAATACAAAAAAAAAAAATTAAAGAAATCTGTATGTGTGTGTGAGGTGTATGAAGTAATTTTATTAAGGTCTGTTTATCTTCAGTTTTGGGCCCACTGGGTATTGTGTGCTGTTTTCCCAATGGAAACTGTGACAATATGTTTGAAGTGAGATTTCAATACAAAATACTGAACCTGCTGCAAAAATGCACGAAGTGCTACTTCTCTTCTTGGAGAAATCTAAGCAAAATACCCTTTGAGTCACGTTCCTGTGTGTGAGCCCTGGGCAACTGCGACCCAGCTTTTCACGTGCCTGCTCCTCTGGAAGAAAAGCGTTTCTGGCAGCGGTGACACACGGCGCTGCCCGTGGCAATTCGTGTTCCGGTCCCTAAAGCGGGTTTGGGTCCCGGGGCCGCTCCCGCGGCCGGAGCCGGTCCCTGTGGTTCCGCTGCGCGGCAGCAGAGGGCGCTGCGCGCTCGCGAGCAGCGGGGCGGGCGAGGAGCGCTCGGCCGGGCCCGGCGGTTCCGCGGCTCCGTAACGGGAACCCGCGACTCTCCGCCGTTCCATCCTCTGATAGATGGCTCTGAAGTAACACCCGAGGCTGGCATTTAGAGCCAGGAGACTAATTAAATCCTCTGTGCGTGAAAACAGACAGATAGCATCTTGGGGAAATGCAGATTAACTGAGCAGTACTGACCGGGTGCTCTAGGAAGCGGGGACCTTGTGCCCCTTTTTATTCCACAGCTACCTGGATGAGATTGTCTCTAGTCCCTCCGAGAAACATACTGACAAAAACAAGGAATGTCGGTGATGGAAGGGTGGGAATTGTGTCCATCATCCCAATGGGTTGTGTAGGTGCTTTAAAAGGAATTTTTTTTTCAAATCTACAGTTAATCTCGATGAAGTCCTGTTAAGTGGTCTTTACCGAGTGAAGCGTCTTGCTAATACAGTTCATTTCATCTGTTGGCAGTGAGAGAATTGAACTTCTTTATTATGATGCTGTAAAACTGTGGTTTTTAACTTTTTAGAAGATCAACCATGATTACAGTTTCCTGTATAATTTTACACTGAGAAGTCTGATGTTATAAGAACTTATTTTCTACTATTGGTTGTATTCCCCATCTAGCATAGTTAACACAATTCCCACTTTTGCTTTTTGTAGTCTGTTGGGACATCATTCATGTTAAAACTTGGAAACCACGTGACTCTAAAGTATGAGGGAAACCATTTATACTTGATTTAAATTGAGACGAAATAATAAATTTGCACCAACTGGGGATAGTTTCAAAGGGTAGGAGACCTGAATTCCAGGAAATCTGCCTATGACTCAGTTAATATAGCATTGTGACATCAGAGTAGGCTATTGTGTAGTCAATAATGTCATTTTCCCCCCTCTCCCTCTTGTTCAGATCTCAGTTGTTTTCTTGGGAGGTTAATTGAGATGAAGTGATATAAAATGCCTCTGAATGCCTTTGAGAGCTGTGGACTAATGCAGCAAAAGTGTTTATTATGTCTGAATCACTTCTCCATATCTGAAAAATTCATTGACTCATGACATGTATTTTCTAGTTTTAGGAGATTTGGTTTAATTGCAGCTTTTGATGAGCTTGGAAGTAGTGGCAGTTAGGCGTGCATATCTAGCCCATATGCTTTGAGAAAACCAGCATGCACCATTTGCTTAGCATATTGCCCACTAAGACCTCTGGATATCACAGTGAGATTCTAAAGAATCATGCAGACACTTAATATACTGTTATTCAAGAACCTTCATGTTGTTGCTAAACTGCAGTTCCCTATGTAATGGAGCATGGACTTGCTTCCTTTTCAGGAGACCAAGAAATTTGTTTTAACCAGTTGTCAAAATTATGGTTAGACTGAACATTAGGAACTAGGAATTTGTTTAATTGGGTTGTATTTAGTGTGCTGCTGTGCATCCTTGAAGTCGTGGAGGAGAAGGGGAGTCTGCATACAACACAAGGAGTAGTGATCATTTTGCCACACGTGCAGCTGGAATCTACAATTGCTGAGCAGCCTGGGCACTGCTGAGATCCTGCAGCCTGTGGCTCTACTGGCACTGCTGTCTGACACAAGCGTGCGGTGAGAAGGTTGGTCCTACATCTGTCATCCTCCCTTCAGTGCTAATGACTATGTACCCAGGCAGTAATGAAAAACTAATTTGGTTTCAAATCCATTGCTGTTTTTTCTTGTGGCCACTGAAGTCAAGAGTGAGGCAAGTGAATTTGGGAAGGCAGAACTGCCCCTTTTGTTATTGATGAAAGCTTATGCTGGAAGAAGTAGAAGTCATTGATATGCAATGATTTTTTTTTCCCTAACCTCCCTGAAGGAGGGAAGTAAATAGTGCTGCTGGTAAAAAAAAAAAAAAAAAAAAAAAAAAAAGTGTAAAAAAGCTGCTGCTAGTTTCTTTATGTGTGAGCTTTGTTACTGAGCAAGTAAGAACAGATTTCTAGTCAGGAAATTTACAAATTCTTTCTGAAAATCCTTATTTATATTTGGTGTGTCCAGGCACTTTCCCCCCCTTTTCATTATACTTATTCTCCATTTGAGAAAAGAGGAGGATATTTCATGGTGAACAGCAATCCGTTGCTATGTTTTAAGGCAGTACCATTTTATACAGTTTTGACCTTGCAAAATAACTAAATGCCAGGTACCCACAGCTCTTCCTGATTGTAGGAGGGGATTTACAGTTGCTCAATGCTACACAAAATCAGAATGCTAGGTAGCATTTCCATTTAGCATGAGTGTTACTGAGAGGATATATATTTAATAGGAAGGATGTCATCATCAACTTGATCTTTTCAAATAAAACACAGTGTTTCTTTGATGTTCTTTTGAACCTTAGCATTTAATATTTTCTGCATACTGCATCAATGAAAAAGCAATTCTTTAAATACCTGCTATAAAACCAGTGAATCTCCAGAAAAGAATGTTCTGTTTTCTGCATATAAGTTCCTGTGAGGCAAATGAAGGCACAGTGCAAAGCAGAGCTCTATGTACTGGAGAACAAAAGCAAAACAAAGGTGGATGGTTGTCAAAAGGGTGTGGCTGACATCTTCACGAATATTCTGAAGATGTTGGTACTCTGGATAGCTTTGTAGAACTTACCTTGAAGAATAGCTTGTCTTGGCAGCTATGGACAGCTTATGAAAGTTGATGAGTATCATCATCACTGCTCAAGAGCAGAAACCCTAACTAATGTCTGAGCAAGATGATGAAGTAAAGGGAGTCACCTAGGTTTGCTTTTGATTTGATTTTGCTTTTTTCTTTGGTTGGTTGCTTTTGGTTTTGTATGTTTGAGGGGTTTTTTAATAGCCAGAGTAAGTAGAAGTTCAGCAGGTGAGTAAATGAATGATAGTTGAGGAGTTTATGAAACAGAACTCTTGGGTTGTGTGTTGTCCTTTACTCCTACGGGAAAAAAATAGTATGTGTTAGGAAGAAACTTGTATAAAACATGGTACTTTAGAAGGCTTTTAGGACTACTACAGAAACTTTCTTCATTCGTGAAATATTTCTGTTTCATCATCTTCGTGGCCCTTTGTAGGACTCTTTGCAGTAGGTCTGTGTCTCTCCTGTACTGGGGAGACCAAAGCTAGACAAAGCACTCCAGGTGTGGCTTCAGCAGTGCTGAGTAGAGGGACAGGATCACCTCCCTCAACCTGCTGACAATGCTCTCCTAATGCATCCCACTCCATCTGCAGCTTGGGTGCAGCCCGGCGCCTCCAGGATATCCAGGTCCTTTTGGGCAAAGCAGCTTCCTATTGTAACCAGGCATCCCCAAAGGAGCAGCAATTAGCACTGACTCCATGATTCCAGAGGGCTGATCAATCACTTTATTATACTGTACTCAATGAGAAACCCATCACCCTTACAGACAGTCCAATACAGGGGCACCCAATTGGTCCTTGGATCCA